AATGTTTTTTTTATTTTTTTTTTTATATTTATATATATATTTTGATATATATATATTATTATATTATATATATATATGATATATATATATTTATATTTATATATATTGAAAGGTTATATATAAATATATATATTTGAATTTTAAAATTCAAAGGCGATTTTAAATATTTTAATATATAAATACATTATTTTTCATAGATGCACATATTTAAGTAGAATAATATCTGTTTCGGACATAAAATATTTTACTACTAAAATTAGAAAAATATTTGTATCACTTAAAAGAATACAAAAAAAATAAAATATCATTAAAATTGAAGTTTCATTTGACTTTTGACAGAATTAATTGCCATATTTGATAAGACATAATATGCCATGAAAAAAGAAATGAATTTACAAAATATTATGGAAGATTGACTTTTAAATTCAGATCCAGAGTAATTTAAACCGAACATTATAAAGATTAAAAAACATAAAAGGATCTTGAACAAAATTACATTCCGTAAATGATTGATCATTTCTAATCCTGTACGAATTTAAAGAAAATTGATAAAAAAAATTTCTTTAAATATCGCCAGGCCAATTTAAAAATCAAATTTACTGTTTATTAACTTACAACCTTTCGATTTACTTAAATATTTGAATATCATAAAAATTTTGTATATTTAAAAATGTCTTAAAATATAATATATAATATATATAAAAATATATATATATATATAGAAATTAATTGAATATATATAGATTATATAAATATAAACAAATATAAATATATATAAATAAATAAAATAATATTTGTTATTTAAAATTCTCAGCCATATTTGCCCATTTATTTTCAATTAATATAATTTTCGTAATTCAACACAAAACAAAATTTATTGTTTAATGATAAAATAGAATATCAAAAAATTTTTTCCATTTTGTTATGGAGTATTCCCGATTCACCGGGAATTAATATTCTTTTGAAAAATCAAAAATCTGAATTGAAATCTAAGACAAAATTGTTCAAATGTGTCCAACAGCAAAATTAACCTTTGAGTTTATAAATTTCCTAGAACATCTATTGATGTTGAAAATTTATCCAAAGATGTCTTAGGAAAATGATCGACATAATGATAAACAATTTATAACATATAATGAAAACATTAAAAATTTAATGCATAGATTATGCTACTTTTTTAACTAATTCGAAAGAATTCGATGCTATGGTTTGACATAATTAGTTACAACATAAATCAAGACTTGGAATTATTCATACTAAGAAAATTAAAAAATTATCAATTTATATATATATATATATATTTATATAATATAATAATTATATATATATATTTTTAATATATATCTTTATATATATAATAAAACCAAAATAATAAAATTAATTAGGAATATAGCCAATAATTCCTTATTTTTTCGAATACAAAATATATTTAAATAAATTAACATTAAAATTAAGGTGTTAATTCTTTTTAAAACATGCTATATATATATATATATATATATATATATATATATATAATATATATATATAAATACAAATCAAAATTCTAAAATCTGCGTCCGGGTCATTTGGGAACCTTTCAGACATTAAAAATCTGATTTGTTTCATATATATATATATATATATACTTATAAATGAAAAAGATAAAATAATTTAAATTTTTTTAAAAATTATTTTTAAAATCTCCTAAACAATTTGAATATTTATATATATATATATATATATATATATATATATATATATATATATATATATATATATATATATATATATATAAAATTTATAAATAGTTTTAAAAACAAGGAAACCATTGATTTTAATTTTAAAAGTCTCTAGGGCCCTTTCAGCCAACATCTCATCAGGAGACAATCGTTGGATTAAATAAAGAATATTAACGATATTGAAGAGCAAAAAAGAAAAAATATACAAAATAACAAAACAATTATATATACTTGTAACGAGGAAGGGATCCCATAAAAAAATTTATATTTTTTATAAATTTCCAGGATCAAATTTCCTTTTTTAAATTCAAGATGATATTCACCTCTCATTGTTTCTACAATTTTTGTCTTGGGGAACAAGGTTCACACGTTTCACGTACGATGGTCTTGTATATATATATTTCCATTCCTTTTTTTATTGGAAACTCCATCTGTCACATGCCAAACATCTTATGGATTGAATTGATCTTTTTAATTTATCTCTTTATAGCTGATGAAAATGTCTGAAATGATGATCCCAAAATTGCTCTGACCTCCAAATCTAGTTTTTCATTCTAAAATTCCTATTATCCACCATTCTCTTGATGGTTCTAGAATGGATTTTGATAATGGAAGCCAGTGTATGAATGTTGGTTCCATTACTGAATGTCTGAATGATCTTTTTTAAACATTTTTTCATTTTAGATATGAAAAAATTTTTAAGGATAGAAAATTATGGTTTTAATTATTTGGATAAATTTTATTATATTTAGATAATATGATAAATTCTATAATAAATTTAGATATTTTAAATATTTTTTTCTTTTTATACATTTTTATATATTAAATATATACATTTATTTAAGAAATATAATGTTTTTAATAAACAGTATTAAAAATAGACAGGGGCCTTAATGTCCGAGAAATTTTGAGATAGATAAATATGCGTTTCTAGACAGGAATCGAACCTGATATTTTACGGAAACGTCATTTAGCCTGACGTGATTATTGATTTTTAAATTAGAAATACGCATAAAGTCGATGATTTTTTTTTTAATTTTTAAACTATATTGTTTCATTGATTTTATCCCATTTCGTATGCATACAATTCGTATAGGCGTATCCAAATGTCACAAAAACATCAACAATATAATGGACAAAAACAAAAATATATTATTTTAGACATTTTATGTTTATAATGATTCTTTTACAGATACAAATATCACAAATAAATGCTTTGTTTATAATAAATGTTATTAAAAAACATTTACCGGCCTGAATGTCAATTATAAAATTTTTTTTTATTCATCAAAATATATCGAACCTGTATATATTTTATATATAAACATAAACATATATATAATAATTGTGTAAATATTGTATTCAATAAATTTAATATATATATATATATATGTATTTATATATGTGTCTTTGAAAAATATTTATTAAAATAAAAATAACTAATTAGGTAAATTGTCCAAAGTTCTTTAGTATTTTAGTGAATTATTTAAAAAATAGTGCTATATATATATATATATATAAATATAATTATTTATTTAAAAATATGATTCCAACACGCTACATAAGAGTTTTCATGTTTCAAAACAAGAGCCGAAAACTTCAATATAATTATTTGAATTAAATTGAATTAAAGTAAAGCTCTGTTCCATCTTCAAGCGAAATTTTTTTTTTGGAATAACTTATTTCTGAAATTTACGTGTTTTAATAGCATATTCATTATTGAAATCAAAATTTCCATGGTAACAGCTAGAGCAATTGTTTAAATAAAAAGGTGTAAGGTGTTAATAATTTGTATCAATATCAGAGTTACATTCATAGATGTCAAGTCAGGGTAAGGTTAGGGTGTCTAAATTTAAAACGGAAGATGATTTTCGTCTAGTCTGGTTTACGTGTCTATGGAGATTTATTTATTTTTTTTTTTATTTTATTTTTTTTTTTTTCTGAAAGGGTTTTGTGTATATAAAAAAAAAACTGCCGTAACATTTGTTTTTTTGACGACTTCATAAAGGGTTATCTTTTTTTAGGGTATTTAAACTATTTATTTAGGACTATGGATTTTAAAAATTATTTTTATTTTATTGTTTGTTTGTTTTTTATGCTAATTATTCAATGCAAAAAATTTGATGATGTCGGCAAAAAAAACCGTTAACTCATGTCTATTTTTTAATAGATTTTTATTATTTAGAAACTTAATAATGTGTTTTTTTTGTCAGCATAAAGGGCATGGGTCATCCCAAGTTTTACAAGTTCTATATATTATTTATATATTTAATTTATATTTTGGTATATAACTATATTCATTTAATCTAAATTCAAAATATTTATATGAGATTGTATTTTTCTTAAAATGGCTATTTTTGAAAGTGATTTTATAACATATTTATGTTATAATTTTTAAATAAATAATTATATATATAATAATATATATATATCATATATATATTTATTGTGTGTGTGTGTGTGTGATATAGTAATTTATACAAAGTTTTTGGGCAATTTTTATTTTTCCAAATTGATTTTGAATTTTATATAAAATCTTTTTTTCTCCAAACTTTTTTTTTTAAGTGCCAATGTTGAATCACAGACATTTAAATTAAAAAGATTTTATTTAAATTCTTTTTAAAAACCAATATTTATATTTAATAAAAAAATTAAATATCTTAATTATTCCTATTATTATAAAATTTTTTACTATTGGTAGGAAATTTCTTTTTATAAAATAACATCAATATGAATGGTTACTGTAGTAATATATTCATTTATTATAAATCATGGTTTAAATACTATAATGTTTACTTTTGGTTTGGCGTTTGAATTTTATATATTCATTTTAAAATAGAAAGATCCAAGCTATTTTTGTCATTACGAAAAAAGAGATTAAATTTAAAATTTCAAAAAATATAGATTTTTCCAATAAGAATTTAATAAGAAGTCCGTTAAGGAAGGAATATGATGACAGATAATTTCTTAACATTTAAGAAATTAATCGGAAACAAATTATTAAAAATAAACAAATTAAATTAAAACGGTAAAATGTTGCAGTCTAGAAAATTGAAAAATTTTGTCGGTATTAGAAAAATGAAAAGGAATTTAATTTTTCTTGGGCTGTTTTATAAATTTTTTAAATATAGATTTAAAATTATTGATAAATAAATAAATAAATAAAAAAAAACAAATAAACAAATGTTTGAGATGTGAATTAAAAAGAAAGAAATGGAAGAAAATGTCTAAAGATGAAAGATAGGGGAAAGAAAGAAAGACAGAAAGAAAGAAAGAATTTTAAAAAAGAGATTTAAATATAGGAAATAAATAAATAAAAATAAAAATGTATCTAAAAAAAAGAATGAAACGAAAGAAACCAGAAAAAAGAAAAGAGAAAGAAAGAAAAGAAAAAAAAGAATATAGGAAATAGATAAAAAGAAAGAAATGAACTTGTAATTCAGAGATGAATGAAAAGGAAAGAAAGAAAAAAGAAAGAAAAAAAGAACTTATAGAGGAAAAAGGAATGAAAAGAAAAATTGAACTGATTCTAACACTGAATGTGAAAAGAAAGAAAAAAAGAAAGAAATATAAGAAAAAAGAAAAAAAGAAAGAAAAGAAAGAAGGAAGAAGAAGAAAAAAATTTGTCCGATGATGAAAGAAAGAAATATAAAAAAAATGTTTTAGAGATGAAAGTGAAAAGAAAGAAAAAAAAAGAAAGAAAAAAGAAAGAAAGAAAGAAAGAAAAAAAAGAAAAAAAAAAATTTTTTGAATGAAAGAAAAAATAAAGAAATGAAGAAAATGAATAGAAAAATAAAAAGAAATATAAATTAGAGAGAGAATGAAAATTTGTCTGTCGATTTTAGAAAAAGAAATAAAGAAATGAAAAAATTAGAGATGAAAATAAAAAAGAAAGAAAAAAGATGAAAGAAAAATTAAGAAATTAAGAAAGAAAAAGAAAAAATAAATTTTGAAGAAAGAAATGAAAAAAAGAAAAAAGGGAAAGAGAATCTAGAGATATTTATGAAAATAAAAGAAAGAAAGAAAGAAATTAAGAAAAAATAAAGAAAGAAAAGAAGAAAAATAAATTTGAATAATATAATAAAAAAAAAATAATAAAAAAATAAGAAAGAATGAAAAAAGAAAATATAAACAAAAGAAAGAAAAAAAAATGAAGAAAGAAAAGAAAGAATTTTAAAAAAAATTTGTCCGGTTTGAAGAAAGGGAGAAATAAAGAAATATTTATAAAATGAAAAGATAAAAAAATTAAAAGAAAGAAAGGAAGAAAGAAAGAAAAAAAAGAAATTCTCTAGTTTTTTTAAAAAAGAATGAAAAAAAAGAAAAGAAATTTAAATTTCCAGAGATGAGTTTGTGATTTAAAGAAAGAAAGAAAATTCAAAGAAAGTTTGTAAGAAAAGAAAAAAAAGAAAGAAATTTTGAAAGAAAATTTTAAAAAGGAATGAAAAAAAAGAAAGAAAACGTTTAAAAGAATATTAAAAGAAATTTTGGCAGAAATAAAAAAAAAAAAAAAAAAAATTTCTTAGAGATTTCTAAATAAAGAATCCGTCGATGAAAAAAAGAAGAAAAACAAAATTATTTTTTAGAGATGAATTTAAATAAAAAGAAAGAAAATTTTAAAAAAAGAAAGAAAAAAGAAAGATTAAAAAAAAAAAACTAGATGAAAGAAAGAAAAAAAAAAAAGTTTCTAGAGATTTAATGAAAAAAGAAAAAGAAAGAAATCATAAGGAAAAAAAAAAAAAAAAAAGAGAGAGAAAAAAAAACAAATAAAGAAAGAAAAAGAAATTTTCTTTCATGAGAGATTTATATTCAAAAAGAAAGAAAAAAAAATGAAAAAAGAAAGAGAAAAAGAAAAAAAAAAAAAATAAAATTGTTATTTGTTGAAAAACAAAGAAAGAAAAAAAATGAAAATAGAGATGAAAAGTGAAAAAAAAGAAAAAAAAGAAAGAAAAAAAGAAAAAAAGAAAAAAAAAAAAAAATGGAAATAAAATATTTTGAAAAAAAAGAAAGAAATCAAATTCCAATTTTTGAAAGATGAAATTTTGAAAAGAAAGAAAGAAAGAAAGAAAGAAAAGAAAGAAAGAAAAATAAAGGAAAAAAAATGAAAAGAAAATGAAAAAAAAAAAAAAGAGATGAAAAAAAAAAGAAAGAAAGAAAAAAAGAAAGAAAGATAAAAATAAAGAAAGAAAATGAATTAATTCTGAGAAAAAAGAAACCAAGGAAGAAAGAAAAAACTGTTTTTAGAGATGAAATTTTTAAGAAAGAAAGAAAAAAGAAAGAAAAAATAAAGAAAAAAAAAAAGAAAGAAGAAAAAAGATAAAAAAATTGTAAAAAAAAAATGTAGAGAAAGAGGGAAAAAAATTAAAAAAAAAGAAAAAAGAAGTAAAGAAAATCAAGAAAGAAAGAAAAAAAAAAAAATTTGTCAAAAAAAAAAAAAAAAGAAACTAAATAAAGAAAAAAAAAAGAAATTAAAAATTGGAAAGAAAAAAAGGAAATTCAAAGAAAGAAAGAAAAAGAAAGAAAGAAAGAAAAGAAAAAGGGGTTTATAAAAAAGAAAGAAAAAAATTAGAAAGAAAATAAAGAAAAAGGTTTGAAAGAGAGAAATGAATGAAAGAAAGAAAAGAAAAAAAGAAATGTTTCGAAAAAAGAAAAAAAAAAAGAAAAAAAGAAAAAAAAGAAAGAAAAAAGGGAAAAAGAAAGAAAAAAAAAATTTTAAAAATGAAAAGAAAAAAAAAAAAAAGAAAGAAAAAAAAAGAAAGAAAAGAAAGAAAAAAAGAAAAAAAAATCACTCGAAAAAAAGGAAAAGAAAAAAAAAAAAAAATAACTTTTAAAGAAAAAAGAAAAAAAAGAAAAAAAAAGAGAAAAAATTTAAAAAGAAAGATAAAAAAAAAAGAAAATAAATTTAAAGAAAAAAATTTTGAAAGAAAATAAAGAAAAAATTTGAAAGAAAGAAAAAAGGAAAGAAAGAAAGAAGAAAAGGGAAGAAAAAAATCAATCAAAAAGAAAGAAAAAGAAAAGAAATTAAGAAAGTTTGAAAGAAATTAAATTAAAAAATTCAAGAAGAAAGAAAAAAGAAAAAAAGAAAGAAAAGAAAAGAAAGAAAAGAAAGAAAGAAAGAAAATTAAATTCAAAAAAAAAGAACTTTTTTAAAGAAAGAAAAAAAAAAGAAAGAAAGAAAGAAAGAAAGAAAAAGAAAGAAAGAAAAAAAAAAAAAAAGAAAGAAAATGAAAAAAAAAAAAAAAAAAAAAAATAAATGAAGAAAAAAAAAGAAAAAAAAAGAAAGAAAGAAAAGAAATACTCTATAGAAGAAAAAGGGAAATTAAAAAGAAAAAAGAAAAAGAAAATGATAAAAAAAAAAAAAGAAAGAAAAAAAAAAAAAAAAAAGAAAGAAATGGCCAAAAAAAAATGAAAAATAAAGAAAGAAAAAAAAGAAATGAAAGAAAAAAAGAAAGAAATAAAATAAAGAAACTAAAGAAAGAAATGAAAGAAAAAAAAAAATAACTGAAAATTAAATTTAGAAAGAAAAAAAAGAAAAGAAAGAAAAAAAAAAAAAAAAAAAGAAAAAAGAAAAAGAAAGGAAAGAAAAGAATAAAAAAGGGCTTAAAGAAAAAAAGAAAAAAAAAGAAAGAAAGAAAGAAAGAAAAGAAAGAAAAGAAAGAAAGAAAGAAAAGAAAGATTTAAAGAAAAGAAAGAAATTTATCTATGAATGTGAAAAGAAAGAAAGAAAGAAAGAAAGAAAGAAAGAAAAAGAAAGAAAAGTGAAAGAAAAAGAAAGAAAAAAAAAAAAATTTGAAAAAAAAAAGGAAAAAAGAAATTTTCCTATGTTTCTAGAGAAAAATGAAAAGAAAAAAAGAAAAAAAAGAAAAAAAGAAAATCTATTAAAAAAGGGAATGAAAAAGAAAGAAAGAAAAAGAGAAAAGAGATGAGGAAAAAAGAAAGAAAGAAAAGAAAAGAAAGAAAGAAAGAAACTTTAAGAAAGAAAGAAAGAAAAAAAAAGAAAGAAAAGAATTTCTAAATGTCTTATTAAAAGAAAGAAAAGAAAGAAAAAAAAAAAAAGAAAGAAATAAAGAAAGAACTCCAAGTAGAAGAAACAACGCAGATGAAAAAAAAAAAAAAGAACTGTTTCTAGAAATTTTGTGAAAAAAAGAAAGAAAAAAAGAAAAGAAAAAAAAAAAAAAAAAAATTTGTCCAGTTTCCAAAAAGGAAAAAAAATGAAAAGCAGAGAATGAAAGAAAAAAAGAAAGAAAGGAAAAAAAAGGAAAAAAGAAAGAAAGAATAGAAAGGAAATGGAAGAAAAAAAGAAAAAAAAGGAAAGAAAGAAAGAAAAAAAAAAGAAAGAAAAAAAAAAGAAAAATCTAAAGAAAAAAAAATAAAAATTAAAAGAAAGAAAAGAAGAGTTTTAAAATGAGGAAAAAAAAAGGAAGAAAAAAGAAAAAAAAAGAAAGAAAAAAAAAAAAGAAAAAGAAAAAAAAAGAAAGAAAGAAAATAAAGAAAAAAAAAATTTGTCTGGTGATGAAAAGAAAAGAAATAAAAAAAAAAAGAAATGAAAAAGAAAAAAAAAGAAAAAAAAAAGAAAGGAAAAAAAGAAAAAAAAAAGAAAGAAATTAAAAAATAAAAAAGTCTGAAAAAAAGAAAAAATAAGAAAGAAAGAAAGAAAGAAAGAAAAGTGAAAAGAAAAAAGAAAAAGAAAAGAAAGAAAGAAAGAAAGAAAGAAAGAAAGAAAAGAAAAAAAAAAAAAAGAAAGAAAGAAAGAAAGTGAAAAAGAAAGAAAAAGAAAGAAATTTGTCCTATAAAGAAGAAAGAAAAAAAAAAAAAAAAAAGGAAAAAAAAAGAAATAAAAAAAAAAGAAAGAAAAGAAAGAAATAAAAGAAAGAAAGAAAAAAAAGAAAAAAAAAAAAAGAAAAAAAGAAAAAAAGAAAAAAGAAATGTTTCTGAGAGAAAAGGTGAAAAGAAAGAAAGAAAGAAAGAAAGAAAGAAAGAAAGAAAGAAAGAGAGAAAAAAAGAAAGAAAAAAAAAAATAAAATTTGAGAAGTGGTGAAGAAAAGAGAAAGAAATAAAGAAATGTTTCTTGAGAAAATGAAAAGAAAGAAAAGAAAGAAATAAAAGAAAAAAAAGAAAAAAGAAAGAAAAAGAGAAAAGAAATAAAAGAAAGAAAAAAAAAAAATGTCCGGTGATTAAAATAAAGAAAAAAAAGAAATGTTTCTAAGATGAAAAGAAAAAAAAAAAAAAAAAAGAAACAAAAATAAAAGAAAGAAAATAAAGAAAAGAAGAAAGAAGAAAAGAAAGAAAGAAGAAAAAAATAAATTTGTCCGGTGATGAAAGAAAGAAAAAGAAAAGAAAGAAAGAAATGAAAGAAAAAAAGAAAGAAAAAGAATGAAAAAAAAGAAAGAAGAAAAAAAAAAAAATTTGCCTGGAAGAAAAGAAAGAAAGAAATAAAGAAATGAAAGAAAAAGATGAATGAAAAAAGAAAGAAAATAAAGAAAAGAAAGAAAGAAAGAAAGAAAGAAAGAATAAAAAGAAGAAAAAAAAAAACTGCCTGAAAAAAAAAAAAAAAAAAAAAATGTTTCTAAAGATGAATGAAAAAAAATAAAGAAAAAAAAAAAAAAAAAGAAAGAAAAAAGAAAAGAAAGAAAGAAAAAAAGAAAGAAAAAAAAGAAAGAAAAAAAAGAAATTTGGTCCAAAAAAAGAAAAAAAAGAAAAAGAAAGATGAAAAAAAGAAAGAAAAAAAGAGAAAGAAAGAAAATGAAAAAAAAAAAGAAAGGGAAGAAAGAGAAAAAGAAGAAAGAAGAAAAAAATAAATTTGAAAAACGAAATAAAGAAAAGAAAGAAAGAACTGTTTCTAGAGATGAATGTGAAAAGAAAGAAAGAAAGAAAGAAAGAAAGAAAGAAAGAAAGAAAAGAAAGAAAAAAGAAAAAAAAGAAAACAAAAAATGAAAGAAAGAAAAAAAGAAAACTTGTAAAATGAAAGAAAAATAAAAAAGAAAAGAAAAAAAAAAAAAAAAAAAGAAACCAAGAAAAAAAAAAAAGAAAAAGAAAAAAAAAAAAAGAAAATGATGAAAAAGAAAGAAAGAAAAAAGAAAGAAAAGAGAAAGAAAAAAAAAAAAGAAAAAAAAAGAAAAGAAAATTAAAGAAAAAGAAAAGAAAAAAAAAGAAAGAAATAAAAAAGAAAGAAATGAAAGAAAAGAAAAAAGAAAAACAAAAAAAAAAAAAAAAAAAAAAAAAAAAAAAGAAAGAAATAAAAAAAATGAAAGAAGAAAAAAAAAAAAAGAAAAAACGAAAAAAAAAGAAAGAAAGAAAGAAAGAAGAAATAAAAAAAGAAATGAAAAAAAAAAAAAAAAGAGTCCGAGAAAAAGAAAGAAAGAAAAAAAAAGAAAGAAATGAAAAAATAAAGAAAGAAAAAAAAAGAATGAAAGAAAGAAAGAAAGAAAGAAAAAAAAGAAAGAAACGAAAAAAAAAAAATTGAGAAAAAAAAAAAAGAAAGAAAAAAGAAAAAAGAAAAATGAAAGAAAAAAGAAAGAAAAAAAAAAAAAAAAGAAAAGAAAAAAAGAAAGAAAAAAAAAAAGAAAGAAAGAAGAAAAAAAGAAAGAAATCTGGTGATGAAAGAAAAAAGAAAAAAAGAAAAAAAAAAAAAAAAAAGAAATGAAAGAAAGAAAGAAAGAAAGAAAAAAAGAAAAGAAAGAAAAAAATAAAAAAAAAGAAAAAAGAAAAAGAAAAAGAAAAAAAGAATTGTCTGTAAAAAAAAAAAAAGTGAAAAGAAAGAAAAAAGAAAAAAGATGAAAGGAATGAAAAAAGAAAG